GAATAGAATAAGGTTTTTGTCACCCTAGACTGGCCTAGTCTAACTTTAGCGAACAGCTCAGGTGTGGGGTGTCATCCCCGTATAGATCTATACACAAACCCCAGCTCTCCCTCCAAGAGACTCTAGTTATAACTACAGGCTACGATTGTACACTCAATAGGTGTCAATAGACACGTCTCACTAGATCCTTAATCGAATTTACGCGAAAAGAAACATATAAAGTACATTCCAGGCCCACTAAACATTTAAGTGGACAACTAAGTCCCACTAAGCATGTAAAGTATTCTAGGCTTGAAAGGAATGAGATTATATATATTCCGAGCCCAATATACATGTAAAAGGACAACTAAGGCCCACTAAACACGTAAAAGGACGCTAAGGCCCACTAAACATGTAAGTGGACAACTAGGCCCACTAAGCATGTAAAAGGACACTAAGGCCCACTAAACGTGTAAAAGGACACTAAAGCACAATAAACATGCAAAAGGACACTAAGGCCCACTAAGCATGTAAAATTACACTAAGGCCCACTAAACATGTATATTATTTCCAGGCCCAATAAGGACATATATATATATATATATATATATATATATATATATATATATATATATATATTAAGTACATATAAGTTAACATGTCTAGATGTTTTAAAAGTATATATAAGTTATACAAACTTGCATCTAAAACATGTATAAGCACTTTTAACATGATAAAAATAATTTCTTGTTTTTGACCCTTCTGTCCCTGTTTTTAGAAAAATTATAGAAAAATCTTCGTAAGTCAAAATTTGGATCTGTAAAATCTGAGAGTTTGGAAAATGAGTCTACTTTGTTCATAATTTTTATTATAACTTTTAATGGTCACAAACCAGTGTGAAAATGTTCATCTTCACAGACTGGTCCGAAATCATTCCGGAAATGATAGGCAGTTTTGTAAAAATCGTCAAAAATTGTATGAACCTGAACTTTTTGCATGAGAATAGTCATTTTAAAGGTATAAACCTGAACTTTTTGCATGTAAAACAGTTTTGAAAAATATTATAATTAAGGTGGTCAAAACAGTCCGTAATTAGACCAAATCGTTTCTGTTAAAAGCTGATTTTTGAGTTTAGGTTATACATGATTGAACACAACACTTATTTTTGCTATTTTGAGTGTATAATCCCAGATATACAAGTTTATATGTAATATATATGACGACTCATACTTTTCTCATGGTTTTTATGAAGATCTAAGTGTTAAACTTCATTTTCAAGTAAAGATCTAAAAGTTAATTAAACACATAGCACAATGTTACATGCAAATATCCAACGGTTACACGAGAGTTGACTTATATCTTCCCCCCGAAAACATGAAAAATACAAAAGATATGGGGGTATGAAGCTCACCTTGGGGTTTTTGAGATGTAGATGAAGAAGAAGATGAAACTTTGAACCTAGCTTGTGCCTTGAAGAGATCTCGAAGTTATGTGTGTTCTAAGGAGTTTGACACACAACAAAGTGTGTAAATTGAAAGTTTTAAGCATAAACATGAAATAAAAACACTTGGATCAAACATGGACTTACCAAGAGGCCTTAAATCGAGTTTTTGGTGAGGATGAACTCGAAATTTCTTGAGAGAGGAATGGATGTCTTGGAAGAAAGTGAGATGAATGTGAAGTTTGAAGATGTGGAGTGTTTGTATGTATGTGTATAGGCCGAGAGTGGAGAAGAGAGGGGAGAAAGAGGGATTTCTCTTGAGGAAGAAGGATGAAATGGTTACATAGATACATGTGGGACTTAGTATGGGTATATGGGGGGTAATAAGGAGGTTATTACTTGGTGGTTATTGTGCATGGATACCCTACATACAACAATGAGGTGTCACTTAATTTATGCTAATTCATTTTTTTTTTAAATTTTCGTAGGTGGGGGAATGGAGGAAAAGAATAAACATTGGTTTTAGATTAAATAACAAGCCGAAAATATATAGCCCAATAAGAAATTTTTGGCCCATTGGGCCCACATATGTGTTTACGGCCCAAAATGGCAAAGGAAATGGGTTTTCGGCCCATGAAAAACAATGGAATGGTTTTCGGCCCAATAAGAAAGACTTGGCCCAAAAAGAGATTTGGGTCGAAAATCCTTGGGCTAAGGCCCAAAATGATTGAGTTTGACTTATTGGATCGAGTTTTGGGTTTGAATCACAATATATGCAAGTATGAACTTAAATGGCACTGAAGTTTTGAATTTCGGTAGATGAGATTTTGTAAGGTTACTCAAGGACATTACATTGTACGGGAATTCACATCTTAACCTAATTTTGCCAATGGTGATAAGGAGAGAGAGTGTGGCACCCCCTCCCCCCATCTCCTTCCTGCGGGTTGCTCCCGTCACCGACGGTGCGGTGTTCCGGTGAGAGGGAAGCCCTCCTGCACCTGTTTCCCGCTCCTCTCTTCATGGCCTAAGTATGTATCATTTTATTCTCATCAACTCTATAAGGCTCGACAGAGTGGCTCGGTGAAGCCTTCGGCAAATCCGACATGTATTCGGTGAACACCGGGCCACCTACTTAGAGAGCCAAACTCGGTTTGGCAACTCGATAGAAATACACTGATGAGAGAGAGTGTGTGGTGTTTGAGGGTTTGAAATTTTAGCCGTTTTTTGGCTCATTCTTGACGCCCTTTTTCAAAAAAAAAATTATTTTTTTAAAAAAAAAATTTAAAATTAAAATTTACCCTCTTTCGACCATATATTAATACTACTACATACCACATTTTATACCACTTTACCTTCTTCGGATTTTACACTAAAAAAACCATATTTTTGTGAAAAATAGCTTCCCTTTCCAATCCAAAAACTCAAAAAAAAAAATACCAAAAGAAACATTCAAAACACAAACTCAATCTCAGTTTCTTCACCTACTTTCGTCCAAGATTAAAGTGATCGTCCTATTTATCCACCTTCAAATTTACATTATGATGGTGTTTACTACCCAGATCATGTCCAAAACCAACGTAAATTCCAAAACCAACATCGTTTCCAAAACCAACTACAATTTCAAAACCAACCAAAATTCCAAAACCAACCTCAAATGAACTTCTCATCCCAACTCCAATCACAAATGGAAAATGACTTCAGCCCATTTGACCATCTTCCCGACTCCCCAATCCATACCTAAACTCAATTCCAAACTCAAACACAACCCAAAGTCATCCCCGAAACGGATTTAGAGCTGAAAGAGATTCGGCCATAACCCAAGAAAAGTGGAAAGGCGTCTCCAAGACAATGGACTACGAATGAAGAAACGGCGTTAGCTCGTACGTGGGTAGATGTTTCTGAAGATCCGAAGGTCGGAAAGAACCAAGACCGTTCTATGTTTTTCCAGAAATTACTAGGTGTTTTCTTGCGAAAATGAATCTTGGAGACCACAGGAAAAAGGACCAAATTTACTTGAAGTGGAGAAATGTCAACAAAGTTGTGATGGAGTTTAATGCGGTGTTTTCGCCTGTCAAACGACTATGTCAAAGTGGCGCAAATGACGAAATAATTTTGCAAAAAGCTCTTGCATTATTTTGGAGTCAGAACGGGATGAATTTAAATTTTCTGCATGTTTGGAATGTCATGAAAATGTCAAAAAATGCCAAGACATCAAAACTTCTGAAACGTTCATGGGTAGTTCTTTTAAAAGAACCAAAACTTCCGAAACAACGCATAGTCAATCGTCTGATGCGCATGTCGGGATTGACCTCAATGAAGATGATCATTTTAAGGTTCCAAGAGCCACTCGTCTCATTGGAAGAAACCAAGCGAAACAAAAGGGAAAAGCGACGACAAATGTTTTGGGTGACAACAAACATTTAACAACCAAAATGGACAACTTGAAGTTGACGTTGGAGCAATACTTGGTGGTCGCATAAGAAAAAGAAAAAAAAAACATACAATGGCGATCTTAACAACGAACACTAACAATGTTACCGGACGCGAAAAAAATTGGTGATGAAGGCCAAAGAGGAAATTGCGAAAAATATAATATCTAAGTTTTGTTATTTAAATTTCTATGTTTCATGTTTTAAATTTCTTGGTTTTGTAATTTTAAATTCTATGTTTTTTAATGTGTTGTCATTTTAAATTATATGTTGTTTTTTTGTTGCAATTTTATTTTCTAATTTAATGTATATTTAGGATTTATAAAAATAATATGTTTGAAATTTTAAAATTTAATATTAATTAATTTTAGAAAAAAAAATAACATAGTAAACATGACAACCACCCCTTATATATGACAAAAAGTTAAGGCAATGTAAATTTTAGCCGGAAGCTTAGATGAACTATTGTGACAAGTGTGACATCTCTCCTATATTAGTTTTTTTTTTTTGTAAATCTAATTATTTATTATTTTCTTTATTTAAACTATTTATATAAAAGGATTTTAATAATAGCACCCGATATATGAAAACTTTCCGGAGATATATTATTTGATTTGTAAATAATCATTGATAATATCAAATTGAACTTTTAAATATGGGGTTGGCTAAATGGACATCCCATTTTACCATTTAGACACCCTATATAAATTTTAAGGTATTTTCATTGGTTAAAATTACATTGTTTTTTGAAAAGATGATTAAAAATAGTTATCTATTGGTTGACTTTTGATAAAGATGTCTATAGAGTGTCTAAAGGGTGTCTTAATAGCAGCGCCCTTAAATATTCGCAGCACCCTAGGTTAGAAATAGCCTAGAATACTTGAATTATGGGTGCAATAACAACACATAATTTACATCATCTACGCAAGGACACGTGTTGAACCATTCCACCAATGGAACACCTACTTTCAGCCTACCCACACTCCAACTTTTCACACCCCTCAAATCCAATTATAAATACGACTCTTCACATTCCCTTTCTCTTTCGATATTTAATCTCGTTTGTTCCTTCGTTATCACCCTGCAACATATACACAACCATCAATCAACTGTTTCACCTTCCTTCAATCGGTCTATTCAGCTCAAACAAAATGACGAAAGACCTGACCGGAAAACCCGTCTTTTTCAAGAAAAACACTCTCCTCCGAAGACAGAAACTCGCAGTTCTCCTCCACAGCTCAGAACCAAACGTTTTCATCACCACCCACCAACAACCGGAAAACATCGATCACCGCAGTAGCAACGCCTCATTACCTAGCCCTGACTTGTCTTCAAATTCATCTCCAGTCATGTCACCAATCAACCAGATGCCATCACCCTACTCCAAATCTCCTTGGACTGTTCCTCATGGTAGCAATGGCGACGAAGGTAGCATCCACAACACTGCCTTGATCGGGTCTTTGGTACGTGAAGAGGGTCATATTTATTCGTTAGCGTCGTCGGGTGATTTGTTATACACAGGTTCGGATTCGAAGAACATTAGAGTGTGGAAGAATCTGATGGAGTTTTCAGGTTTCAAATCGAGTAGCGGTTTAGTCAAAGCGATAGTTGTTTCCGGTGATCGGATATTTACCGGCCACCAGGACGGGAAAATTCGGGTGTGGAAATATTCAGACAAGAAGAAAAAAGCTTACAAACGCGTCGGTAATCTACCCACAACGAAAGATTACATCAAGAAGTCAATGAACCCTAATAATTACATTGAAGTAAGACGTCGTCGTAACGTTCCATGGATCAAGCATTACGATGCTGTTGCTTGCATGAGTTTGGATGAAGAACGAGGATTATTGTATTCAGGATCGTGGGATAAAACAATGAAAGTCTGGAGGCTTTCGGATTCGAAATGTTTAGAATCTGTAAACGCTCATGACGACGCCATTAATTCTGTCGTCGTTGGGTTTGACGGTTTGGTTTTTACCGGGTCCGCCGACGGGTCGGTGAAGGTGTGGCGGAGGGAGTTAGTCGGGAAGGCAACGAAACACGTTTTGGTTTACACGCTTTTGGATCAGGACAGCGCTGTCACGTCTGTGGTGGTGAACACCTCTCAAACCACCGTTTACGCGGGATCCTCCGATGGACTGGTGAACTTTTGGGAACGCGAGAAGCAAACGTTATCACACGGCGGAGTTCTGAGAGGACACAAGCTTGCGGTGCTTTGTCTCGCAACTGCCGGAAACTTGTTGTTGAGTGGGTCGGCGGACAGCAGCATCTGCGTGTGGCGGAGGGAAGGTGGCGGCATTCATAATTGTTTGTCGGTCTTGAATGGCCACACTGGTCCGGTGAAATGTTTGGCGGTTCAGGACTCGAGCGAAGATGATGATCAGAAAAATCAAGAATGGATTGTGTACAGTGGTAGTCTGGATAACTCGGTAAATCTATGGCGGGTATCAGAACAGCCGGAAATTACCATATGAAGCTTAAGAAATTGAGAACACGCGCCGCCCTTTAGTGGTGGAAATCCATGATCGCACTCAAATTAAGAGAATTTTGAGAATCGTCGATTGAAATGATCGATAAAGATCACAAAAGTTTGCATTAGATAGAAAGCGTGAAAACGTTTGATCAGATGGTTTGTTGATGAAGATCTATCGCCGGCCAGCCTTCAAAAAATTTGTTTTATTATTTTATATATAAAATGTAAATGGAGTTCATGATTTCTTTTTGATGATGAAAAAACTGTAGCATTTGTAAATGTTTATATATAACAAAATATAAAAGTGTGCATATCTCTCTCTCTCTCTCTCTCTCTCTCTCTCTCTCTCTCTCTCTCTCTCTCTCTCTCTCTCTCTCTCTCTCTCTCTCTCTCTCTCTCTCTCTCTCTCAATACATACATAGTTTAAAGAGAAAATGTACAAAATACATCATGTTTTACATTTTATTTTTATTTTGATATTGCATTATTGTTAGGTCCAAATTGAACATCATATATTTCAATTTTGTTCAATGTCGACGGTTATTTGATTGCCATGAGTTCCTATTGACTACTGGATTTCTTGATGGTTCATACACATGTGCTTACTTGGAAAATGCATATCAGTTTTAGAAACAAAGAATTACGTTAAATGTTTATGTTGGGCTAAAGGTGCAATAAAGGGAATAATGGTTGAATGTCAAAACTGATTCATTGAGACTAGCGACATATCACCGGAACTTTTTTTTTTCAACGTTCAAACGTTGTTATTTATCCAACCTTTATACACCGTAAACATTCAATGTATTACATTGTTTTACAAACTTATGTACATTCCATGATACTGATTAGAATTGCAATAATCTGTCTTGCCTTCTTGATACATACACATGGACCTATACATGCTACAATATAATGGGCTAACATTGGATTATAATACAATTATACTCACATTCCCCCACAGTTTTTCGGGAGGTAAACAACAGACGTGTAAACTGGATCGAAACCCGTAGAATAGGCTCGTTTGATAACCTTTGGTGAATATGTCGGTATATTGAGTTGTGGATGGCAAATGAAGAATACGAATATGACCGAGAGCCACTCAATGGCGTAGCCACATAGAGGCAAAGGTGGGCCGTGGCCCACCCCAAAAAAACTAATACACACGCACACACAAACACACACACACACACACACACACACATATATATATATATATATATATATATATATATATATATATATATATATATATATATATATATATTGCCTACCCTAAAATAAAATTCTGGCTATGCCACTTTGTCTCGAACATAGTGAATATCAATCTATATATGTTTTGTTCTCTGATGCTGAACTGGATTGGAAGACGTGTATATTGTGCTGACATTATCACAATAAACAATGGTTTCCTTAGGTACCGGGCATCGAAGCTCAAGAAAGAGATTCCAGATCCACGAAATCTCAGCAACTGCATTGGCAACACCACGATATTCAACTTCTGCGCTCGATCTGGAAATAGTGCCTTGTCTTTTGGATGACCAAGAGATGAGGTTGTCTCCAAGGAAAACACAATAGCCATATGTAGAACGTCTGGTAGCTGGATATCCCACCAGTCAGCATCAGAGTAGGCAATGAGGGAGGTAGTGGGGGAGTTGTGAAGTTGATGCCCATGGTTAAGTGTGCCACGAAGGTATCGAAGAATCCTCTTGAGCGCATGAAGATGAGGCTCTCGGGAATCATGCATGTGTAAACATATTTGTTGAACAACAAAGGCAATGTCAGGCCTGGTGAAAGTGAGGTATTGAAGAGCTCCTGAAAGACTATGAAATAGAGTGGGATCGGCAACGGGGGAACCAGAAGCATCCGATTTTTGAATTGGCTCGGCAGGTGTGCGACGTGGATTGTAATTGGACATGTTGGCTTGACTCGAGATCTCTGTCACATACTTTTGCTGAGAGAGAAAGAGACCTGTAGATGATCTAACGACATATATACCCAAAAAATAGTTAAGTGGCCAAATACCAGTCATTGCAAACTTATTTTTGAGTTTGTCAATGTTGTGCTGCATAAGATTAGAGGATGAAGCTGTCAATATAATATCGTCAACATATAATAACAAATATGCAGTCGAGTGAGGAGTGTGTAAAACGAACAATGAGGAGTCTGTGCGACTATGCTAAAATCCAATGGTTGTGGCATGTCGAGAAAATTGACGATGTCAGGCTCTGGGGGCGTGTTTGAGGCCATATAAGGATCTGTGTAGGTGACATGCATACGCTGGATATTGAGAATCTCGAAATCCTGGTCACTGATACATGTAAACAGTCTCCTCAAGATGTCCGTGAAGAAATGTATTCTTCACATCTAGCTTATGTATCGGCCACTGTCTAGATACTACGATGTTGAGAACAGTACGTATGGTAGCCGGTTTAACAACTAGATTAAATGTCTCATCACAGTCGATGCCCTGTTGCTAACTGCGACCATTGGCTACAAGGCGTGCCTTGTAGCGAGATAAATAACCATCAACATGAAATTTATGAAGAAATATCCACAAAGACTTGACAATATTGACCCTTGGGGGGGTGAGGGACAAAGGTCCAAGTTCTATTCGAGATAAGAGCATTGTATTCGTTATACATAGCATGACGCCATTTGGGGTCCTTAATAGGCTATACATAGGACTTAGGGATGAAATATATAGAGTTGGTATGAAGATTTTTTTCTTTTGGAGGGGTTTAGTGATACCATTGCGAGACCGTGTGGTCATAAGGTGATGTATGGGAGGAGGTTGGGTGGTTTCAGTTTGAGGTGGGAAAAGGGTTGGTGGTTTCAGTGTGAACCGATGGAGTAGGTGAGAGAGTATTGGTTTGATGATACATGTATGTTCGGAAGGAAGAGGGTGTGTCATATGTATCATCAAGGAGTGAGTAGGAAGGGGATCGTTTGGGGTTACATATTTTAATGGGAAAGTATGCTCATCGAATGTGACATGTCTAGAGATGATGATAGTACGGGTGGAAAAATCAAGACATCGAAGACCTCTATGATGGGAAGGATATATAAGAAAAATGGACGGGGAGGATCGTGGGGATAGTTTGTGAGGGGAGGTGATGTGGGGAAAACAAAGACATCCAAAGGTGTGAAGGTGGGTATATGTGGGGTGCTTTTTGAGGAGGTGATATGTAGGTGTGTCATTTTGGATGGAGGTGGATGGGAGTATGTTTAGGAGATGGGTAGTCATGAAAAGAGCTTCCACCCAATATGTGGGTAACATGTGAGCATGGAAAATGAGAGTGCAGATGATGTTGTTAATGGTGTGAAGTATACGTTATGATTTTCCATTTTGTTGAGATGTGTGGAGACAAGAAAATCGAAATAGGATGCTTTGTTTTGAAAAAATATTCATGAAATTGTTTGTTATTGTATTCCCCTCCATTTTCACATTGAAAACTGTTTATAGATGTTTGGAATTGAGTTTTGATATAATTGGAGAACTCAACAAACTTGGAAAAACATTGAATTTGAATTTTAGAGGATATACCCAAAGATAGTGACTATGGTGATCAAGAAACATAGCATAGTATCTCAATCTGTTGATGCTAGTAATGGGTGAAGTCCAAACATCAGAGTGTATTATTTCAAAATAATGAGAAACATTAGAATTGGAAGCAGTAAAGGGAAGTTTAATGTGTTCCCCAAGCTGACAAGTGTGAGACAAAACTGCCATACTCAATTTTATTACAAGGAAACAATTTATTAAAACCAAAAATGGAAAATCATAGTTTCCCAGGTGACCAAGGCGGTGATGCCACACGGATGAGATGGTGGAGATGAAAATTTGAGGAGTTTGAGGTAGAACTGGATATGAATACGTCGTTACATCTTTTGCATCCTTCTTCACCAACATCTTTCTTCTTCTTACTTCCATCCATTTCGGTGGCTTTTCACCTCCCAAGTGGTTCATCATATTATGTCCTTATGTATTGACTTATTGGGTGTAATAATTTGTTTTGGTGATACATAAACTTTGAGGGGATGATATTTGACTTAAGAAAAGTGATAGCGGGTGTGACATCAAAAAAAGGTATTGTGGCCTTGGAAAAATGTGATCACATTTGGAGTATTAAGAGATTAATAATTAATATTAATATAATATGGGAAAATAGAGTGACATGCTAAGTTTAATCGATTAAAGAAAGCAAAAATTCTTGATTGTCTTATGAAAATCGGACATCGAAGATAGAAAAATCACCCATGAAGAAAAACAGAGAACCTTCAAATGGCCACAGATAAGAAGAAAAACGGAAAGTATGAATCATCTTTAGAGTTCAAGAAAAGCCGATCACCAATAAAAGAATAGTGGACCAAGAAAGTCAATCAATTGGTAACACAAAGCACCTCAATCACCTCGAAATGGAAAGGAAGCAACCTTTCAAATTGTATGTATGATTCAGATATTTGAACACTCAGATATCACTTGTTATAAAAATATCAATGCAGAACAAACACAATCGAACACCAACGATAAATATGACCATGCTAAGAATACAAGAAATCAACAAGAAGAACTATGTAACACAACGATATAAAGTAGAAACCTAAAATCGGGAAAAACTACTATCAAACGTCAATTTTATTGTGAATGATATATGACCGATAAATCTCCAAGAAGAGAAGAGAAAAAGATATAATGGAATGATTAAAAGTTAACATGTAAATGACTTTCTATAATAGAATTGTAACATACGAATTCATGGAGGTGTTTAAATTAATGTATTTTGGATTTTTAGGCAGTGTCACGTCGCGGTGAAGGCATCCCACGACGTGGTGATGATCGTTGTGTCGCGGATTTTAAATGGCCGCCACGGCGTGGCAACCTATAGTCATGGTATGGCAGCTATTTAATGAGAAACCCTAATATTCAGGGTTTATGTCGTATTTAATGGAATGTGATGGCTAGGGTTGCTCACCCTCAGCCTCTATCACACTTTCTCATAC